GGAAAAAAATGTATCAGGAAATGGTATATTACAACCGAATGCATGTGAAAACTAGATTGTCCCAATACTTCGCCGAGATAGAGACCGACATGGTGGAGGTGTTTGTTTCTATATTAGAACCACTATTAATTTTTCAATACGTGAGGATTTAAAGTTTAAAAATTTGGAAAATTTATGTGTTGAAATTCGAAAACCTCAATCCAAACCATTTGTTGTTGTCAACTGGTATAGACCACCCAATTCTCCTGTTGAGTTATTTACTTCTTTTGAGTCCCTTATCGGACGACTTGATGCAGAAAATATCGAGTTTTATTTAATGGGTGATTTTAACTGTAATTTAGCTAACGATAGTACTCAGTATGACAGCAATACCCATCTGCTGTCGAGCATTACCGATACATATGGTCTTCAGCAGTTAATCAATGAGCATACCCGTATTACCAAAACAACTTCCACCTTGATCGATCTAATTTACACTAACTATCCAGACAGGGTAATTTGTTCAGGAGTCTCGCATTGCGGTATAAGTGACCATAGCCTAATCTATGTCTACCGCAAATTATCTTTAAATACTGTATCTAGTAAAGGAAATAACTACATTACCTATAGAAATTTTAAGAAGTTTAATCGAGAAAACTTCCGTAGTGATATTTCATCTCAAGACTGGAGTTACAATTTATCTAACACTCAAGACCCTAATCTAATGTGGGCTGAATGGAAAAGTAAATTTTTAACTATAGCAGATAAACATGCTCCAATACGTACTAAGCGTATTCGATTGAAGAACTCTCCATGGATAACATCTGATTTAAAAAAACGTATGCATGATCGTGACATAGCCAAAATAAAAGCTATACACTCTACTGTCCCTGGTGATTGGGACAATTTTAGAAGATTACGAAATATTGTAAATAAGGAAATTAAACTCGCTACAGAGTCTTATTATAAAAATGCATTTATGCAGCACAGTGGCAATTCTCGAAAGACATGGCAGATTGTCAATGACCTGACCTCGCGTAAATCAAAAAGAACATCTGTCAGGGAATTAAATTTGAATGGTAATTCTATATCTAACCCATCAGATTTATCTAATGCATTTAATGAGCATTTTTCGACAATAAGACCTAAACTTGCTAGTGAAATTCCAGTAAGCACTAGTCATACGAGTTACACTGATTATCTCATTAACACTGACAAAAGGTTTCAATTCACGCAAACTAACAATGATCAAGTATTTTCAGTGTTAAGCAAACTATGCAAATCAAAAGCAACCGGTCTTGATCAGATCTCAGCCAGACTTGTTCGAGAATGTGCTGATCTTATTTCTAGTTCCATAACCAATATTTTTAATCTTTCATTATTATTGGGTACATTTCCTGAAGATTGGAAATGTGCCAAATTTACTCCAATCTTTAAACAAGGTACACGGAATGAAATGAATAACTACCGCCCAATTTCTGTGATTTCAGTAATGGCTAAGGCCTTTGAACGAATAATCTATAATCAACTTTATGCATACATGTTAGAACATGATTTGCTATCCGAACACCAGTCGGGGTTTCGTTCTTTGCATTCAACGGCTACGGCTTTACTTGAGGCCACTGATAGTTGGGCTTACAATATTGACCGCGGCAATATTAATGCCGTGGTATTTCTAGACCTGAAAAAGGCTTTCGATACGGTCAACCATGAGATCTTGTTGTCTAAACTCAGAAACTATGGAATTCACGGAGTTGCCTACAAATGGTTTAAGTCATATTTGGAAGACCGTAGGCAGAAATGTTTTGTTAACGGGTCACTTTCAAAAAAATGTAGTCTTAAGTGTGGAATTCCTCAAGGAACGATCCTAGGACCGCTCCTGTTTCTGGTATTTATTAATGATTTACCAAATTGTTTATCTAATTCTCATCCCAGAATGTATGCAGATGACACTAATCTTACATATTCTGGTAGCGATACAAACACTATTCAATTTCATCTTAACGAAGACTTGGAAAACATTAATGAATGGTTAATATCAAATAAACTTACTTTAAATATGACTAAAACTGAGTACATGTTAATTGGGTCGAGACAACGTTTAAGTACTCTTTCTGACAATCCTTCTTTTGAAATAAATGGAATTCCTTTAGATCGAGTTTCGACAACAAAATCACTTGGTGTCTTATTAGACGAAAATCTTACTTGGAGTAGTCATATCAATAAAATGACAAAACGAATTGCTTCTGGTATCGGTGCTATTAAGCGGTTGAGGTCATTTGTTTCATTGGAAACATTGCATGTTATTTACCAAGCTCTAATACAACCACATTTTGATTATTGTAATGTCGTGTGGGGAAATTGTGGGAAAACTTTATCTAACAAACTTCAAAAACTTCAAAACCGTGCAATGCGGGTGTTGACCTTTTCCAACTTTGACGCCGATGCCAATAGCTTATTGGAAAAGCTAGGGTGGGATGATCTAAACCAACAACGCCAATTTCAAAAAGCATTGATGGTTTTCAAATCTTTAAATAACCTTGCACCCGAATATCTATGTTCTAAATTTACTAATCGCAATAATGTAACTTCTTATATACTTCGAGACTCCGTGAACAAACTTGCTGCTCCTTTACCCCGCACCAATTATCTTAAAAATAGCTTTAGCTATAGTGGTGCAGTGTTATGGAACAGCTTACCTAGTAATATAAGACAAGCGGAATCTCTTACTGAATTTCGACAATTGTTGAAACATCATATTCGATAGACACGGCATTCATGGAAAACAGGTATAAATATTAATGTAACATAGGCGTGAAAAATTTTTTAAACTTATTAATGTATAGATAACTTTTTTGTAAACCTGATGAAGCTACCGTGCTTAAATAAAGATTTGACTGACTGACTGGCATTGGGCTAGTATTCCAAAGGTCGTAGGTTCGATTCCCACCGTGGCCGGGCATGTTTATTTTGAATTTTTAAAAATATCTGGTTTTTACTCGCACGCGTCTGCCATACGCTAAAATTGGCGACTAAGAAGTACCCGTAGCCTGATGCACGTGCAAATCATGCTGCAGATGTAAGTTGACCTTTAGAATTGATTTCCGACGTTTCCCGAGCGCTAGAATGTAAACACGCGATGTTTTGGCGAATCTAATTCGTATTTCCGGTCAAAAAATATCCCGCTGACTTCACTAATATCGAAACAGATTGAAATATCGAAATAAAGGACGAAAAACTAAGGCTACAAGCTTCAAAATAACACTGTAAATAGTGTTTTTGATTTTGAATCGAACAAGACTACAACGAAAAAGATATGTTCGAAGGGGCCGAAGTTGTGTCCGGCGAAAGGTATCGCTTTAGTGATACAATAGGGCCATTTATACGTGACAAAATAAGTCGCGACTTACATAAGTCGCGACTTAAATAAGTGGAGTTATCGCATAAATGGTTCTCTACGGCTTTGGTCTTATTTATTTGCTATAGCTATAATGTTGTTTTGGTTGTTTTTGTTTTAATATGCAAGGCATTAAATTTTACGTTGTTTCAAGTTTCTGGCATGTGTAGTTAGACTTTTTGTCCAAAATTTCTTATTTAAGACGCGACTTAAATAAGAACAGCTAAAAGACCTGTTCTTATGTAAGACGCGTCTTATCCAAGACGCGTCTTACATAAGAATTTTGTACCTTTTATACGACAAACTCGCGTCTTACTTAAGTCGCGTCTTATGTAAGTCGCGTCTTATTTTGTTCCGTATAAATGGCCCTAATGTTTACATTTTTCGAACAAATATGTAATTTGTTGAAAAATATGATACCTCTTGACCCTTCAAAGGTCATAAATCGCTATGTTTGTCTTTGACTAAAACTATCATTAGGGATTAGGAGATATTTTCTCGCTGAATCGAATGGTGGTATTTTCATCTACATAGCATATACTGAACCGAATATATGAATATGCAAAATAGTATTCCACTATCGACCTACTTTTCACAGGGCCTGTCGCCCCAATTTCGTTCCCCGAGCCTGCGATTCTCGGGAAGGAACGCCAGGCTCTGGGATGATCCGTTGCCGGAAGCCAGGAATCCTCGCTAAGATTCAACTACGCATCCATTTCACATGGCCAATCAGATTCCTCCCCGAAACGGATTATCCCAGAGCCTCGCGTTCCTTCCCGAGGATCGCAGGCTCGGGGAACGAGATTGCTGTCGCCCAGGTAACGTTAACTTTGCCCGCGCGGGCGAAACGTACATTGTTTTTGACGTCCGTCACGCCTGCGTGAGCAGATTTTCAAAGCCCGCTCCGCCCGCGCGGGCAAAGTGACTGCAATGGAAACCGGCCCTTATAAAGAGGGAAGGAAGGAAAGATTCGAATATCCCAGACTTGGCATATATCACACGAAACTCTCCTCGATTTTTCGCCTTTAAATGCATGTCTTTCAAGATTAATCGATATCCCCTGCAAGAGTGATACCGTATAAGTTTCAAAACAACGATGCTTTAATCAAAGATCTAGAGCTTAAATTCGCTCTAAAATCCGTGAGGGAGTGACAAAATATATCCGCGTGCAAATTTGCTGGACAAAAACCGGAAGTCGTTGAACAACTCAAAATACACTCAAATCTAATTGGACAACGAATATCAACAAACATTTCAAATTTTTCTCGACTGGGAGGGGGGACAATACCAGTGCAAATTTATTTCTTTAAATTAAATTCTAACGTTTTGGCTCTGGTTCTGGCCGTGAGCCAGTGAATAAGAAGTGTAAGCGAGTTGGTCCTTCTGATTCGTTTTATCACAGTTAATTGAAGGGGATGGTTAGGCTAGCTCGTGACGTCACGGAATATGTTGCGGCCACTTGTAATTTAGTCACGTGCACAATAAGGTGCATCCGGGTTAAAGACGCTGAAAGCTCGAATTACAAATTATAAACACATACTGTATCGCTAACTTCGTCGTGAAGACAAAAGCATTGTGCGTGGTCTGGCGAATTTATTTATTTGGTTTAAAGTTTTTGAAGGATATGCCTGGCGCAAATTGCGCTTTTTATGGTTGTTCGACGAGCAGAAGCCACAAACTTTCGCTGTTCAAAATCCCAACAATTGGCGCGGCAGATACTGATTACACAAAGTCTGTGAAGAGAAAAACCCGTGAAGAATGGCTTCGTTTAATACAAAGAACGAGAGTTTTGACGCCAGAATTAAAAGCCAGAATAGAGGCGAATAACATTTACATCTGTGAGCTACATTTTAAGGCAGAATGTATATTAGACGGTAAGTTTTTGCCACATCTGTACGTATCTTCACTTTAAAATATTCATCAACCAGGATTTAGCATACAAGGCGTTGTTAATTCAGCATTTTTAATATCTGAAAATTTGCATATTATATAGGAAAACGAAAGACATTGGTGGCTGGGAGTATTCCTACTGAGAATCTACCTCAAAAAAAGTACGACGCTCCCAAACAAGAACGTCGTGTTCTTGAAAGAAAGCAACTCGAGGTTCCAAAGACGCCGCCATTACTCGATATTAACACCTTTACTGAACAGTTGCAGCGAAAGGAAATCGAACCGTGGAAAATTGTGAAGTCAAACAACGATGAAGTGCGACTGGAATATTATGACGATGTTCACAGTATTCCAAAGTATACAGTTATTGTAAATTCGGCGCTGGAATTCAGTGTATTTGTCTTCAACTGGTTGGTACCTGACCAGAACTTTGTATACGTGGAAAACAAGCGTTCGGTCATACATGTGGATATTGTAGGGCTTTTAAAGTATATTGAAAGTTCCAAACTTTGTGAAGGCTTGGAAGAAGATACTGATGTTAAGTCTGTTGCTGTTGACCCCACTGAAAAACCAAACCCAACAATTCAAACCTTGATTGTCCGGCATTCTGTTCCTAAAGTTATTGATCCTGAAGAACCACATTTTCAAGTGTCCATTCGATACCGCTCAGTTGGTTGTGACACTCTCACTAGCAGTGAACACTCGAATAGTTCATGTAAACCTTGTGAATCTGCCCTGAAGAAGATGAAGAGGGCGGTCAAAAGGAAAAACAGAGGATCTGCATCACCAGCTAAAGCAAAAGCACCATTAAGTAAGTGTGGACCAAAGAAATTACAGTCAACAGTTGTTTCAACAAGACTGCAAGTGAAAGATTTAGAGGATCGCCTGCAGCAGCTGCAGAAAGAGATACAACAGCACGGTGTTGGTATTAGTGAAACTCTCGAGAAGGACATTCTCACAATAATGGGAGGCAAAAATCTTGATGCCACACCACACATGAAGTTTTTTTGGCAGGAGCAAATCAAGCTTTTGCAATCATCCAAAATGGGTAGAAGATATCATCCCCAAGTCATCCGATTTGCTCTATCTATACACAGCAAATCTCCATCTGCTTATAGGGAAATACGAGACAGTGGTGCCCTTGTTCTTCCTAGCGAACGAGTTCTTCGGGACTATAAGAATTACTTCAAGCCCAAACCTGGGATCAATAAAGAGAATGTCGAAAGTCTACGTGAGAAAACAACATCTTTTACTTCAGTACAACGATATGTTGCCGTTGTCATGGACGAGATGAAAATACAATCGAGTCTTGTGTTTGACAAAGTTTCTGGAGATCTTATTGGTTTCATCGATCTGGGAGATCCTATGACAACCTTTGCTTGCCTTAGTGAAGATGATCCTATTGCATCCCACGC